TTTTTTTTTTTGGGGGGGGGCTGATTTTTTAACCTCTTTTTTTTTACTTTCTCAAACTTTCTAATCTCTAGAATTTGGTTCTTATCTTTTTTCTTTCCTTATTTCTTTGCTCATTCATTTGTTTGTTTGTTCAGTCATTCAGTTTGTTGTTATTATTATAAGAAAATGTAGTCTGCCAGTCAATACCATTATCTACCCAAAGCATATTTGTGATCATTATCTGAAGGCCATCCAACGCATGCCCACTAGAGTTGTTTTTCATTCAGCTTTGTAATAATTAACGAGAAATGTAGACAGCAGATCAAATACAGACTCCCCATGTTCATAGAGGCAGAATTAGGCTAATAGGTATTAAAGTGGAGAAGATAAGCTGATTACTATACAATTACTTCTACATAAACATGTTTACTTTAAAGGGTCATCCACTCGTACTACAGTGACTTAATACGACAACTGTGACAGTACTGATGTACTCCATGTTCCTGTACTAAAAACTAATACTGTATGTGCTTTGAAACTTTTCACTGTCTCTTACGTTATGCTGAAAAGCACTAGTAAGTCAATTGTTTCTGAAGAGATGAAACTGCAAGAGATGAAACTGTTTCCTAAGTAACCAATCAGGCATGAAGATTTATATCTTTCATAAAAGTCCCTTGTTTAAATGGCACACATGTCTATGGAAGCCAACTGCTTATATATGTAACAATATAAAATCATGCCTATTCATGAACTTTTAGCTTTTAAAAGAAAGAAAAACACATTATGTTATTTCAAATTTACTATTTTCTTTAATATTCATTTTAAAGGTTCATTTAAGTAATTAGATCTAACTCCATTTTAACACAGTGCTGCATTTTTGTACATGCATCAATACATGAAACAGTTGTATATATTGCACAGGAGTACAAAGGACCCCGATTTCATATAAACTGTACTTTTATCCTACCTTTATCAGTCAATAGCAGACGGGCAAACATCCATTTTGATAAAGAGACATATACTTGACTAACAAATGCTAGCATATACAGATACAGACAAATAAAGAAACCATTCAAAATATCAAAAAATTGCATCCTATTTCTACTATAACATTAAAAAGTATGTTTATCGCAGCCCTGCTCAAATATTCCTTCTTTCATTTGCAATCCACCAGGTCCATGAAAAGAACTGGTATTATTTGTATTTCTATGGACTCTGACATGCTATTATATATACTTACCAAGCATGTCTCAAGGCCACCCAACCTTCAGAAAACAAGCCACTGTGACATTAAGGACAAAGTCAAAAGTGATATATACACATGCTGAAAGTCATTGCCTGATTTTAATCTTAATGGGGTGTGGGTGCATTGAACGTGTGTGTGTGTGTGTGTGTGTGTGTGTGTGTGTGTGAGGAAAGAGAAGAAAGAAGAAATTCCCCTGGTTGATACAGAATTTTACTGAGGGGTAGGGGTAGTATAAAGGAGGGGTGTAAATTGTTACAGTATTATTCTGCTTCGGTTAAAAATTGAACCGACACTATTAAATATTTGTGAAAAAACTTTTAAAGGCACAGAAAAATCATGACTAAAACTCTACACAGTAATTTCACATGCCTTATCATATTACAAAAAGCCCCATCCAAATAAATAAATAAATAAATAAATAAATAAATAAAAATGAATATTCTGTGCTTGTCAGGTGAAAATTTCATCCAAATTTCAAGTTAAACAAAAGTTAGGTAGCCATTTTCAAATCCAAAAGCAGTTTACGAGCTTATTATTTATTTCTTAGGCTATGTGACATAACATTATCATTTGTTCCTATGGAGGACTTGGTGAATAAACTCATCATCTTATATTTTATGTTACTAGTACAATAATAGATTGTCCAATACCTTCTAAGATAATGATTTAGGTATCTTGTGAATAACAACATTTGAAAGTCATAATATTTTCACAATCAATCAATAATGAGAAAGTTAATCAATCAAGTAATTATAATACTGAAATTTGTCTAGACACGATGTATATTTCAGGGTTAAAAGGATAGCACACACATGGTCGGTCATTCCAACATGGCGGGTGAGCGTACTGGTGCGAAAGCCATTGTAATGACATCATCTAAATGCTCGGTTCATGATGTTAAGTAATAATGAAGTCCAAATATATCCCCTGTTTTTATCAATTTTTAATCAGATTTGATTAAGTAAATATACTAAAATTAGGAGTTCCACCCACAAAACTATTCACATATTGCAAGTTGGGTAACTTCATTTTCAATATGAATCTTCACAAATAACCTCTTTTTGAGCTGCTTTAGCGAAATTCTGAGAGTTATCAGAAAAAATGTTTTGAGAACCACCAAAGTTACTGATTTTGTTCATTACCACAAAAGAAAAATTGCACTTTAGATAAATAGCTGAAAGTAAAACTGTGACAGAAAAATTTGAAATTCATTATTTAATATTGTTAATGACTGCGTACCTTAAAACGAATATGACAAGCCAAATCAGAACATTCCTGAATGGGTCATAAAAAAAAAATTATTTCAAGAATTCACCTCACTTGACAGAAACCATAATGATCTTTAAATTTCTCTGTATCTGCCTAACAACCACATTTCTGCTAAAAAATTAAATAGTTGTTTACAGTTGCTAGATAACAAAAATAAACTAGATGCATTTTTGATGGTAGTTTATATTTCAATCATTTTATTATCTTATTATTGCCAGTATTTCTTACACTGTAATAATAGCATGCAGCATATATATATATGCAGTATATATACATGGAATGCATAGTATCAAATTATTATTATTATTATTAAGAATGACTTAATCAAAAGTTACAGTTTTTAACCTCTGCATGCTCTTTATCTAATGCTATTTTTAACTATACCACAGAAATATCTCATTGAAACTTTTACAGAAATTTTGATTGACATGTTACACCAGCTTTGACAATAACTTTTTTTATGAAAGACAAATGAAAAATGTGAATACTTAGACTAGTAATAATATTTACTTCTCTGTTGTCATAAATCCTCCTTAAAGGGTGTCATTAGAATATTATCTTGTCACTGTTGAAATATAGCTTACAGCCAGACTAAAACTAGGTCAGCAATCTG